AATCCAGCCCTTGCAAGCACAACTGCGGTAGAAAAGTGGCAAAGCACTGAGAAGCAAGCTGGGCTCAGTGTTTCCAGCAGCAGAAGGAAAAGTGGCCATTCCCTTGAGTCTACAGCTTGTCTGATCTCTCAGACTTCCGATGCCATCTCCAGAGCCGTAAGAGAGCATCTCAGCACTCACAGAGACCAGCAGCAGAGAACAAGATATCACAGGCACTGGCAGTGTGGGACAGGAACCCCCCAGAGAAACAATAACCACCTGGCAGGAATCACACGCTCCCTCCTCCTCACGCCTCCAACAGCAGCCTGACAACAGGCTTTGCTCAGCTCATGCACAAGCTGCCACTGTCAGTTGCTCTGTACAAGAAAATTTGCTACAGAAAAAAAAAACAAACAAAAACAAAAACAAAAAAATCACTAAGAAAACCCCATCTGGAAGGGATGATCTGTAGTCTGCATCTTCATGTACAGAATAGGTTGAATCAACATCTCTTGGGCTTTGATTAAGTCAAGGTGATGTTGCCTGAAGGAAAGCAGTAGATTAGATCTTGAGATTCAGCTTGACTTTTCTGGCTTTCTAAAGCCAGATTAAGTCACAGGAAATCCACCTTTCCCACCTGCCCGAAGGACTGATCTTCTCATCCTCAGATTTAGAAAGCTTGAAACAACCTGGGATCACACGCTTCCAACACAAGTTTCTCTCTTTCACACACTGCAGAAATCCTTGCAATGGTTTTGAAAGTCAGTTTTGTTTTGTTTTTTTTTTAAGAACTTGTAAATAAATTACAGAGAAGTCTGATTCTATCAGTCTTTTCTGATTTTTTGTGTTACTCCAGAAAAGGATCTTGACAGGTGAGAGAGAAAGGGAAGTACCTCCAGTTTACGTAGCACTAGGGTTCACTTTAAAAACCTGCTCAAACCAAAGCAGTGAGAAAAATTCAATCAAACCAAAGCAATCACTTCAATGCAGGAAAAGGGGCACACGGACACTTATTTTTTGACTGATCCAATGAAGTGTGATTTTGCTCGGGTCAGCCGTACTCTGCCTTGCATTGAAATATTGACATTAGCTTTAGAGAACACAGGCTGCACCTTGAGAAGATAATAAGCATAATAAAAAAGCCGCTGAGGGTGAATGGCGAAGCAGCTCACTCCTTTGCTTCAGTGCTAGGAGAGGGCCTGCAGGCAGCTTTCCTCTGATACTCCAACCCAGTGGCTAAAATTAAAATATATTGAGCCAACAAGCAGCCTCCGGTAGTTGTTTAATAATGACCACTTAAAACCCACAGTGCAGACAAAATACATGTCTCCCCCCTCACGCGCTGTGCAGCAGCAAGACAAATCTCTGTAGAACACCTGCCTGCTGCAAATCCTCCTCCCTAGAGCGGGCAGCTCCACTTCGCACGCAGCCCAACATCATTCCCAAACACACCTCCTGGTGCTTAGTCTCTGGCTGCTGGGATGGCAGCACGGAAAACGGGCAGCACATCCCACCCTCCCGGGCCACAATGTCCCCTGCAGTCACATCAGGTGAAGGATTGTGTGTCCCTGGTCCATCACAAGCACTGGGATGGGACCAAGCCAAAGGGGTGTTTGAGATTTGCTGGCAAGGCTCTAGTTTGAAGTTATCACAGCCCAAAGCTTCCTCAGTTGAGAGCAAAACTCATTCCTGGGGTCTGACTTCTTTGGTGGAAAGCTGTTCCCCCAGTCATGTAAATGATTCATTTCTAGGTTTTCTTTTTCCGTTAACATTTACACTGGAATTTCTAATGGCTGCTGATTTGCATCATGCAAGCTCTGCCAGCTGCCCACAGCCTTTTCGTCCACCAAACCAGTATTTCTGCAATTACCCTTTGTTTGCATAGTTTATTTAATGAGATGCCCAGAAGGCCCCTAGGGACTTTCAGCTGGCTCCCGCCCCCATGCAGACCACATCACTGGTAAGGTTGTAGGATTCAGCCTCAGACAGATGCCCATTCAGCTGGAGGTTCATCTGGCACTCAAAAAACATCACAGCTCCAGTCTGCCCTGAAGAAGCAAAGCTCAAGAGAAACCAGCCATGTTGCCACAGCTGATGTAGCCAGATCTGGGGGGCTGCGGGCCATGCACCAGGGACAGCACAGACATCTGAGTCTCACTGCTAGACCCACTCTGGTCCCCCCCAAAAGTCTGCAGCACTGCCTAGCCTGTGCCTGCTGCAGGCTCCTTCTGCCCTCCAGCCTCCCTCCATCTTCAGTTCACAGCCTCTCCCAGCTCTGCCAGGCACCCCCGTCCTATTAACTGGTGCCCTCCCATCCCCAACTCTTGTGCACCCACAACTGTCCCTTCCTCTCCCTTCTCCTGTTGAGGTTCACTGCAAAGGCACTCCTCCAGTGCAAACTGTAGAGGGAAAAACAGGGGAAATCCTCACGGCTCCAGAGAGATCATTGGCCTCACCTTCTGTCTGTCCCCCACGGGCCATCTCCTAGTTCATCCCTGCATACCTGGTGGATGCACAACCACCACTGCAGCTGGCCGGGCTCCTTGGCAAGCTCAGAGCACAAGCCCTGCACCAAATGCCAGTTTTGATTAAAAGATCAGTGACATTTTCATACACGTACATGTATATGGAAATTTGCTAAATTTATAAAAGGGCATATTCAAAGAACATTTGCTGAAGGCTTTCTCCAAAACATCTTTTACGAGCACCATTTTGTTCTGTCAGGCCAAGGAGGTTGCAAGCACAGAGGTGAAAAACTGCTAACAATGTCTTACTTTGGAAGAATTGCTTCTTTGGTTATAATAATTTTTTATTTTTAACTTTTGCTCTCTTGAGTTTCTGTAAGATTTTACACTATTCAGAGTTTTAACTAGCAAAACTAGTATCATTATGTAAACCTTACTGCATCTCTGTGTAACCTTAACACTCAATACACCAAATCCTGCCATATAAATGTGCTGAGCAACAAGCACAAGTCAGGAACCTGATTGTCTCATCAAAAGTCCACTCTCTAACAGGATCTGCCTTTGGCATCGTCTCAATCAGAAAGGTGTTTTGCTACTTTATTGATAAAAAGAATATTCTCTTAACCTTGTAACTCAGTCCTGAAAAGGGTTTCAGAGACATGCAATTCAGCTACAAGCGATAAGCACAACAGAAACACCCAGAAGGAAATTAAGTATTGCTTAGATAGCATGCAATAAACATACAGGGCCATGATGTGAATTATGATTTAAAAAAAAAAAAAAAGAGTTAGCAAGCGCTATGTACTCACTGAACACTTTTCATCCTGGGCACTGAGTGGGTCAATCGCTGTGAAACGTGACTGTACTATTAAAGACCATGATAGCGCACACACCTCAATTAGGCTACTCCAGAACTGGGCGTGTGCCTTCACAGCCATCACATCAGCAGCCTAAGTGGAGACCTGACTCAGGCATAAGACACATCATCCAGCTCTAGGCCAAGGACACCACGCTCTGCTTAACAGGCCATGCTATCTAATACATGCTGGCAGCCTCCTCCATAAAAAAGGAGGGGTAGCAGGCGAGGAAGGTGAGCAAAAATTGTTTTATAATTAAAATTGTCAGACACATTCAAGCTGCCAGACAGATCTAGGAATTATGACAAAGGTCAAGGAGGAACAAAAGCAGGAGTTTGGTTTTCCCAGTGAAGGGTGGGACAATATCAAAATGGTGAGAAGGGAGTGAGGAAGACAACGGAGCGCCAGTAATCTGTGTGTTCTAATAATCACACACATGGCTGCAACCACGAGTCTCAGGAACACGCAGAGCAAAAGGAGGAAGGCCAATTCCTATTTCACATTCTGCCTGTGAATTCTAACTTTACACACATCCAGAACTGCACAATCTCAGCCTGAGATTTGAATTCCTATCCCTTATATTGGGAGCAGAAGAGAAGAACACATGGAAATGTGACTCATGTACAAATCAACACAGTGCTGTCAGCCTGCAGGTAGCCTCGCTCCTGTGAACTTGTGACAGGAACAAAATCAGGAAAAAAAAAATAGTCGGAAAAAAAGAACATGAGAAACTGGGTAAAAACTGGGTACCCAGTTGCTGGGTACCCATTGCTTCCCCAGGAAGCAATGCAGTGTACTGCAATCAGAGAAGGAACAATGAACCATAGCTCAACTGAACAGCTTGAACAGTTCAAAGTTCAGCTGCTGTGCAAATGTTATGATCTGTCGTCATTGCGTGCAACCCATCCAGCCCAGCCAAAGTTCTGCTAGGAACTAAGGGGAAATGTGTGTTTTCAGTTGTATTCTTCAACAAAGAATCCGCCTGCTCACCACTGCAGAGCCAGAAATGTTACAGGCACATACAAGGAAATATAGAATGCAGACCTTTTCTCCAGTTCTCCATCTGTCAAACGTCATTCCTTTGCTTTGATTTCATATATTATATGTGGCAGAGAGCTCTCTCTCTAGGAAGGAATCAATCTTAAGGCGCAGGCGGACAGATTCATTTTACTATTGACTGACCTATAGCTGCAAATGCTGACAATGATTATCAGCACTTTTCAAGAAGTTATCTACTCATTTCATTAAATCTCAGATAGCATTCATGCCTTGACCTTCAACATTACCCTCTTCTTTAAGAAGAAAACTAAATTTTCCAAGTCATGTAGACTTGACATTTTTCTAATCATTTACTATTCAATTTCTGAAAAGGTGTTACAGGGTTCAGAAGTCTCATGTCAGCATTTTAGTCTGCTCAGCAGAAATGTGAAAAATTGGCTGTATTGTTAGGGGCTGGTAACAAAATGCTTTGGAAAAATGGGGCTCCTTCCACAGCCATCTGTGGAAATGCAAAGAGTCTGGGTCTGGATGTGTTACAGACTCCTTCCCTCATCCAGGGAAAATGACAAAGGAAGGGCTTCAAAAGCTTCCAGGCACCAGCACTGTGACTCCTGCT